TTTATCATACAATTTATTCACTTGGAAAAATTATAGTTGTTCAGAATTTATAATGCTATACAAGTCATTACTATATTTTGCAGCCAACAAAAATTATTTAAAAATATAAAAAAAACATGTATGCTCTCGTGTAAAGCACGTGTACTCAGGGATGGTAAATGATCAAATCGAATCGAATACTAAGGTGTTCATATTTGTATTTGTTTAAAATTATCGAATTCTAATGCGGACTCTAATATTCATATATGGAGTTTTTCAAATTCAAACTCGAATACTTGGTATTTTATAAATACTAGTTGGATTGCACGTGCAATGCACGTGGTAAAATTTTTATCATTTATTATAAATCTATAATTTTATTTTGGGGAATATTTGTTATTAAATTATTAAATGTAAGCAATGGATCAAACATATAGACATAATCTCAAAATTTAACATTTGAACAATGAAATTACATTTAGTGATTGATTGGTTGATAGTACACCGTTTGCATCTATAACGTGATCGATCAATCAAATATTGTCACAAGTATATACGTAAAAGTAATGTTTGATGATGTTGATGTAAATCCAAGCTGCATTAGAAGCTTGATTAAGCCTTTGTAACAGGTAATGTGTTTCTACATATACTAAAATCATCTCATACTCTCCCAAGTTTGTTGTGCTGAAAGTTCCTGATTCTAGCAATCTTTGTTGCTCCTTTTGGATATCATCAACACGATGCCGCCTTTTATACCTGACGTTAAATTTCCATAATTGCTGAATATCACGTTGACGAGCAATTTTACCACTTTCTTAACAAGCTTTTCCAACATCTCCTCCTTCCTCCATTCGTTCAAAAGAACCGTTTGGAAAGAATGGAAAAACTAATGTGAAGGATGCTATGAAGAGTTTCGGCAATTAAAATATTACTGATATCTACTCGAATATGACCGCAAGAGAGTTGAAAGAGTCTAAATAGGCGACGTGCTGTCCTCTTATATCTTGGGCATTGTTGATAAAAAGATTAGGAAACCCATCTGCAAAGCTCCTGTCAACAAAAAAAAAATTTGTTGCATTACTCTTCATAACAATCTGCAAATGGAATGACATTAGAAGGACAAAAATACTACCATACTTAGTACTAAAACAGTAACTTAGAAGGTTCGTTCAACTCACCTCAGCCTCTTTCTGTGCGTCCCTAACTTCATTCAACTGCCGCTGCAACTCCTCAATCTTCCTCCTCTCCGCTACCACATCCTCTAGCAGCTTCTGCCTCTGCTTCTCCCACACCAGCAACCTCTTCAAACATTTCTTCTCCCTCTTAGCCACCTCCAAGCTAGTTAACAGTATCTCTACTATTAGCAATAAATAGTAGAGCTCAACAATTTATTTCAGGTTATAGATAACCCCTCTGACGATGATTCTTTCTAAATGGTAGAGCTAAATCCTCCGTTATAGATTACCCCTCTGACGATGATTATTTCTCTTAACTCTACAAATTTGTGCAACAAAAGCCACCGGCCGATCTAGAATTCAATCTCGCAGGAACCTGAATCCTCCTCTTCGGATCATGAAACTTAAACATCCCAGGGCCTCCTCCAGCGGCGGCTGATTTACCCCTTTCAGTCTATTTCAACAAATTTGTCATTTAATCTATACAAAAGTGTACCGAAAGTCTATAAGCAGAGACATGGCAACAATGCCAACAATATCCTTCTGTAAGTGTGTGTCTGAAATATCTATGAACTGCCATCATGTGTGTGGTGCAGTGTGCATGCACATTGATATATGTACGTCCTAACAGTTTTTTAACCAAATAGAAAGCAAATTAGCAATGTTATGTTAAGACTAATGCATTGATGTCGATCATGCAATTTATAAATATTAATTGCCTTTATTTTTGTGCAACGGAAAAAACTATCAGAAGAGGAGGGGGTTAAATCTCCATTGGCATGCAACCTCATGGTAAATACGATTTTTGATAACTCAGCACATTAAATTTATTGAAATTGTAAGTCAATAAAGAAGAAGGCAAAGATGAAGCCTCAACGAGACAAGTACAATAAAGAGAAGGTTGAGGTCTTCAGATGGGTTGAAAAGTTTTCTTTATCGGTCATATAATTCATGCTAAAAAATCATGGAGAAGACCTTGAAGAATACTGAAAGGTAGGTTCATACTCTTTATACCATGTACTTTGGTATATCATATAAGAAAAACTACATCCATAAGAATCACATCTAACTTCAAGTTATCATATATAAGAAAACACACATCACATACTTCAAGAATGACATAATACTTCAAGACACGCGCGCGCGCACAGACAGAGAGAGTGAGGGAGCGGGGCCTGAACTCTTAAGTTCTATGGAAAATGGAACGAGTTTTGGACCAAGCTTGAAGAGTGAAATTTAGACTGAATCCTGCACAAATGCAACACATTTTTACAGGGACCATGAGGCCTGAACTCGTAAGTTCCATGGAAATGGAATGGGTTTTGGGTCAAGCTTGAAGATTGACTGAATCCTGCACAATTGCAATACACCTTTTATAGGCTCCAGTCCTACATCAGAGAAGAACCTAAGCTGGGATCATAGACATGGTCATATAGTGAAAGTACATCCTCTCTCTCCTCAGTAAGCAGCCTTTGTTCTGGGAGCAAATCAAATCATAGAGCACCTAACCCATCAATTCATGACTAATATTTTTATATTTTTGAAATTCAAACTTCCCTATTTATATAAGCTAATGCACTCTAGCTTTTCCTCAGAAAATAACTTCTACTGTTAAGAAAGAGTACCTTCTCCCCAACTTTCTCCTGGTGCTCCTTAACTTTCTCGCGGAGTTTCTTTAAGCCCATGTTCATTCTCGACCGCTTTTCCTGATAAAAATTCATACAATTAGGTAATCCCTCTAAAAAGATGAGTGACTCCCATGTTAACATAGAGTATCTTGTCCACCACTACTTTTCTCTTCTAAATCTGATAGCATAAGAATATAGATATACTAAGTACACGTGCCTTTACATAGCTGACACCAAGATCCTTCCTAGTGTAACCACGTGCGAAGTTCCTCATGACGTAATCATTGTAATCTTTGACTATCCTCATTATAATATCAGATGTAGAAATTAAATCTGTGCACTTTGTTTCCTTAAATTTACCAATGGCTTTGACCTGCAATAACACTCATAGTTAAGGAGGTAACGAACAACAAACGTGGTTAGTTGACACCACAGAATATATAAATGTTCTGAAGAACATACGAATTCATATACATCATTACCAGCTCCGCTGGCATCTGCATATCTGCATATATATGTAAAAAAAAGTTTTTCCTCTAATTAGAGAATCAGAAGAAGGTAAGAGAATTTGCTGAATGTGTCCCCAAAAATAAACAATATAACAATTAAAAAAAAATAGTTTTCTGTGCTTGTTATGTCTATGCATTTACGCACCCGCGCGAGGGAGAGAGAGAGAGAGAGAGAGAGAGAGAGAGAGAGAGAGTCAGTTTTCATCCTATATTTTTACTATTTCACATGCAATTTTTTAGGAACTTAAAAATGAATAATCTCTCATCCTTTATTTTTACTATTTCACATGCAATTTTTTAGGAACTTAAAAATGAATAATCTCTCAAATTCTTTTGTTTTTGTTATATGCTTTAATTCAGTGATCGATTAGGAAAAAGTTCCCTAATACCCTTTCTTGTACATCACCTTGTCAAGATAAATAAAATCTAAATGCTTAAAGATAATAGTTTGCAGCAGCAATAATAGAAATGCAACTGGGTTGATGACCTTACGGGAGAGCATCATGGGCTACATAGTCAATGTTGTGCTTATCAAGGAACTCTTTTGTGCACACCCAGGGAGCATCTGGAATGATCTCATCAACCCACCTGGTCAAAAGAATTTACTTTGTCACAATACTGCAGATTATCAAATGCTCACTAAAGAAAAACTGCTTCCTGCAGATTAATATCAAATTTCAACAAAGGCATTGTATATAACTCCATTATATACAACGAGTCATTGTCCAAGCATAGGATAACTACAGGAACAGCTTACAGGAAAGTGCATCTGCCTAGGTATTCTTTTGATTTTGGTTTTCAATGATAAAATAAAGTAAGTAAAAATAAAGTGTACCTTGTCTTGACCCCCAACATCCCAAACAGTGAAGCTAATGTTCTTGTACTCCACAGTCTCAACATTGAATCCTGCATAAAAATGTGAATTTCACTTTTTATAATAGCAGCATAATTTCATAACTCGACACAGTTTAACCAATCTGCAGTGAAATGAAAAATATAGAAATTCTACTAAAACAAAAATAAAATAGGGGGAATTTCTCAAAGCAGAAAGGGAGGTCTTGTTCCAAATAAGAACAGGTCGAACTTCGAACGATGCACAGAATATTAAAGCTTAATAAAAATAAAATTCAAATAAATATATACGAAAGAGAAAATAAATAATCATTAGGAGGCCCTGTATACTACTTTCTCAGACCTAATATATAGAAAGACATCAGAAATTACATAGTCACCAACTAAGCAACAGCTAATGCTGTGGAACATCATAAAATACTGAATCACCGATAAATAAATCACTATAGTGATAATGACTCTTAATTAAGACGATGCATGCAAGAAAGGTATACGTCTTCAAGCTTTTCATAAACAAGAGAGCCATCAGATCCGCAATTTGAGATTAGGAACTCGTAAAAAATAGAATCCTCACAAACATCTTGCATGGGACAACTGAAGGTTTTCAAATAGCAAACTGTAGGCTTAGATAACTCAACATGGGAAATAAAGGGGTAGTTACAATTTACAAGAAACACTCTCCATCTATACCTTATTTTCCAAGGAAACCCTCATCTAAGAAGTTCAGCAAAACAACCCCTCATCTATGACCTTTAACGTAATCATTAATTTAGTAACGGAGTTTCGTTCTTCAGCAAGGAAGAAAACTAATTAAAGAAAATCAGATAAAGCTAAAAAAAAATCTAACATTTTTGTTATCACCAGGGTTTTCTCATAGGAACCACCTTTACAATAGGGTTATTCCATAGAAACCACCTTTACAATAGAGTAATTCCATAGAAACCACCTTTTATAAGAAAACTATTAAAGTTTTTGCAGAGAACTGCTATAAACAGTATGTAACAAGAAATGAAAAGAGAATATAGTGAGTTTAATGCATCCGCACCCTTGTATGGCTTTCTACACCATATCTTACACCAATGCATAAATGCCAGTTTTGGAGAACAGCACTGCCAAAACTATTAACGTTTTTGCGGTGAACTGATATAAACAGTATAACAAGAAATGAAAAGAGGATACAATGTGTTTATGGCTTTCAACACAGAATCTTACATAAATGCCAGTTTGGAAAACAGCATCACCATGAGCTATGACCTCAAATCGATACCAATATCATTGACATAGGATATTGTAAATAAGAATATAACATTTGTATAAACATTCTTGCAGCAGCAAATGCTCAAGATCTAGAAAATTCTACAAATAAAGATTCCATAGTGTGGTACATGAATGTTAAAAATGAAACGATACTAAAAGAAAGATGTAGTTTGGCTTCTGAAACAGCAAGAACAAACACAACTAAAAGTACCTTGTGATCACAACCGGAGTTCCTCTATCAGCAGAATGAACTGCTGCCTTCACTTTTGTTGTCATACCGCCTCTTCCCACCCTTGATTTGTCCCCAAAAGTAATCTCCTTCTCATGTATATCCTTAATGTATGTGTGTATGATCTTGGAATGAGGTTCGCCAGGTAGGCCACTAAGTAGGCCCTCCACATCACTAAGCAATACAAGGAGATCAGCATTCAACTCCAAAGCCAGTAGCGCTGCTAAACTATCATTATCCCAAAATATACCAGATGCGTCCTGAAAATAAGACCAAGTTTTAATGATGAGACAGACTAAACAGGCAAGATGATTCAAAAAAGATGCCAGAAAAGGCGATGGCAATAGGTCTTATCAAGCATTTATAGAGTCTGGCCCATGTAGGTGACCTCTAAGATTCAATGTTGTAAAATATTAACTAATAAATTTAATTGTAATCATCAAAACATTCTCTGGGCTACTTAACTATTTGCTTGAGAAAAAGCATAGGGAAAACTTTTTTTCTCAGTTGCAATTTGGTGAAGGACCTTGATACAAAAACAAATATTCTTAGAAACAAATAAATAAGGTTTCGCATTAAAGTCCGCATGGAAATACACCTGTACATGGTTAAAAGGCATTATTGTCATTGCATGACAATGTACCTCATATGGAGCTCTACGGGTACTGATTGCATCATTTTCATTGAAAACAGGAACGACTCTGAGATTCAACAAGGAATTCACAGTATCAATAAGCTGCACCCTGAAACCTGGGTCCTTGAAGTCCCTATCAGTCACAACAAGTTGAGATGATGCCACATCCAGCTGCAAAGAAAAATGTATTAGTTACTAAGAATTTAAGAAAATTTTATCAAACTATAAGATGACATGAATAGAATTAAGGAAAAGGCGATGTGAAGTGAAGATCATAAATTTTTGCAATTAAGTTCAGAGCATACCTGAGTGAATAAGGCATCATACAAAGCCATTAGACCACTCTGACCAACAGTTGCACATGCCTTTCCATCCAGTTCTTCCTGTGGCTTCTGTAAATCAGCAAAGCTGCAAAATAACAAGTTATTTTGACATCAAAGAAGAAAATCATAAATCTAGTGGGCCTTTTAGAATAATATTTCAAAGTTTCTAAGAGGGCAGGGAGCTGCCTATAGAGTTGTAGGAGAGCTGAGGAGAAGGATGAGGCAAGATGTGAGGATTTTCTAATAAACTCACTATTTTTTCGAAGGACAACTTTCCTTTTGGTTTTCTTGCTGAAAGATACGATTGGGATAGTCTCTAAATCAGTTCATGTTTTATCACTTTGTATTTTAGGCATATGTTGTGAATAATATGGGATACCCAAATAATATGAGAGATTGTCGTCTCAATTAAGGGAGTTCCCATATGCCTTAGGGGTTATTCCTAGGTGAATCAAGCTCAGATCTCAGACACGACACAAGAGGTCCCAAAAAAAAAACACAACATCGCATAAAATACCGCGGGCTTAAATCTCCGCCTCAATTCAAGCTCAGATTATCATTTGTGTAGTTTGTGTGCAGTATAGATAAGAAAAAATTAGTTGACATGAAAATTTAAAGTAATAAAGTGAAAAATTATCCGAATATGTATTTAGATTAACACAATTGAATGTTAAATTTAAGCTAATAACTACAATAACAATCAAAGCATGCAATAGTTATCAGACAACTATATGAGCATATGTTTATAAATCATAATTTGTCCTAACAAATTAAATTCATCAGTTCATAATCTTAAAAGCATATGAAAAATTAATTTGAAATCCTTCAACCAATTTGTAAATGTAATGAAAATTAAAAATTGTTCATGTTTAATTTTTGTGGGCCCTTGATCAAGACTTCTCCATCTTTATCTTCTTTTTTGGTAATTCTAATTCGCTTCAATTTCTATGAAGGTCAACAGAAGCATAGATATGCCATGCGCCTTCAATTTCCATGTTGTTCAGATTTAAGGATGGAGATATTATCTTGTGTGAAATTTTGTAGTAGCCAACACTCAGCTTGCTTTCTTGATTCTCCGTATAACTATTGGCTATTGCCTATGCTGCAACTATTCTGAACGTTAGAGCTATTGTGTCATACCTCCAGTTTTGAATTTCTCTTGAAAAGGACGATGGGTAGGACAAAATAGCTAACTCATCCTTAAAGTATCAAAAGCACTTCGAGTATCCAAGGCAAATGCAAAAAGGGGGAAAATATTTACAGAACTTTCCGGATGCCTCAAGCTTATATATTTCTCCTGATGGCACCTTCTGTATCTTATACACACACACACACTATTGCATAATGAGAAATTGTGCATGTTGGATGACTATCATCATGCTTCGTATGTAGGGCAACACTTGCAAAGGGATTCAATTAACATTGACTGTCAGAAATGAGAAAAATTATTGGAAATGAATTAAGAAGGACACTTAATATGCAGTTTGATCGGGAAAAAGAGTAAAGCAGAGTAACAGCGAAACCTATCATTTTTGGATGCATACCTTGCAGGCTTTCACATATGACATATCAAACACATATAAAGTCCAAAATATTTGCATCTATTTGACGTTATGTGCATTTGAATGTGCCTATAAACTGTAGTAATATCTATAACCTCGAATTAATAATGACACATATAATTATTCCTTGAAGAAGCAACTAAAAAAAAAAACAAATGGGCACACCCATTATCAAAATTTCATAGAAAGAATAAAAGTTTATGTACATTTCGATATTAACTTCAAATGAAATCGCACGAGCTAGTAATAATCTATAGCTACAACCTTGGATAAGGATAGTATAAATTAAATCTCACCTTGCACCCATTCATACGAGGTTATATTATGACAGGTTTTAGTTCAATGACAGTAGCTCCACTCATCAATTCAATATAGTAATAACATCTCATCCTCAGCTCCTAATCACATCTATATCTCTAGTAACTCATTATTGAAATAATTACAAAAACCCAAAATTTTTATAAATCAACTATGAGCTTCTACTCCTAAATATTTTCATAAATTTCTAAATCATGTAAATTAGTAAGAAAGAAGCTAAAATTCCTGTAAAATACCAGAACTCAACTCAACTTACTTTATAATCTCGATACAGCTGTTGTTCGAATATTGAAACCGTCGTCGCTTGAAACTGTAGGAAATCAAGAATTAGGGCAAAATTAGAACAAAATTAGAGGACTGAAGAACAAAAAGGGGAGAGGGTGAATTGAGTAGAACTAACGATTAGAGCTAGGGTTTTGTATAACGAAGTGAAGACCAAGAAGAAACCTTCTTCAAATCATAGGTAGAATTCGTTTTAAATCAAAAAATCAGAGGAAAATTTTAGAAATACATTCTTCAATGAAATTCCTTACTGATCCTATCCAATGCCAAAATACTGAGAACTGAGGAGATGATGGAGGAGGCGTGGCGTTGATGATTAGAGCAATAATACTCATCTTTGTAAATTGATGACTTGAAGATCGTGGGACGGCGTAACCGATGAACTCAGGAGGCCAGCGAGTAGAGATGGGCTGAGGAGAAGCGTAACAGATGAAATGCGGGCGGAGAGAACGGCGTAACCGACGAGAAATTTAGGGCTCCTGATTTACGATGATGATGATGAAATCTGTGGAATGTTTATAAGGGATAACTTGGGTATATTAAAATAGGTTGAAGGTTAATTTGGGGAGGGGAAAGTTTTTCAGGAACCGGCTCTTTTAAAGGGTAGATAGATTCATGAATACTTTTCGAATATCAAAGTATATTTATTCCGCTAAAGAATTTCATTTTCAAATGGCATTTAAATTCATGAATAAAAATTATTCCTTTATAATATATAACGTATGTATATTTAAATCAAAATTTTCATTAGAAAATAGATTTAAGATTATTTAAGTTTTAAAGTCATTACATAAAACTCAAGTATAAATGGTAAATAGGTTAAAAATATGACATCATATGTGCAATAATATAAATAATAAGTGATCAAATTTTAAACGAATATTTGATAGACAAATGAATCGAATATACATCTTGTTAAATTCTATTCGTTAGTAAACTCGAATACTAAAAAATATTTGTTTAGTGGTAAATAAACTACTGAATCGAATATGACTGAATAGTTACTCGAACAATTATCAAACTATTTGTTAATTATTTTGTTCATTTCCACCCCTACGTGTACTATACTAGTGCTTCTAAAAGACCATTTGGGATCAACTAGTTCAGAGTTCATATTAATCATGTCGAGCTATCATCAAATTAATATTAAGATAAAAATCTAGGGAAAATTGTGTCGATGCCCCAAAAGTAGTAACTACATGTGACCAGCCCCCCCCCCCTACCCCCCCCCCCTATATTCCCCATGTGGATCAGACCCAAAAAGTACCGTGTAACGTGTTAAGGCCCCTTCACGTCAGCTGTATACAAAAAAGAGATTGTATTTTGGAAAAAACCCTAAATTGCCCTTCTCCTTCTTCCCTAGAAGTAACCCCAGAATGTGGGGAAGTCACGTCCCATTAATACGATTTGACGGGAGAAATGGAGGGAAATTTCCCCTCTTTTTTACTCTATCATGAGCAATAACTAGTTAGTGTCCATTACTCCTCATCATCCTAAAATTCTCTCCACTACTTTTACATTCTCTTCATAATGTCTGAGAAGGATATCATCTGCCTTGTCTCTTCGGGTGATAAAGCAGTATTCTTAAAGATTAATTCGTCAACCACCATGATGGATATCAAATTTGATGTGTCAGAGAGGTTAGATCTTTCCTATGATTCATTAACTTTGTCATACAAAGATGAAACAAACGGAAGCTTCAAATTTCCTATTGAGAACGAAGATGATATGTCGTCTATGGTGGAACATTGCCACAATATTGGATTAAAAGAGATTCACCTAAAAGTTTTTCAAGAATCAGAGGATTCTTTAAATATCCATAACAACGAGCAAGTTCAACAAGACCAGTAAGTTATTGGATTTTTTTGATGTTAAGATCAATATTTATGACGTTAAGTGTAAAATCAGTTCATGTTAGGTCTCATTGGAGTTCATGTTAGGTCTAGTAACAGTTTGTGTTAGTTCTAAATTCAGTTCATGTTAGTTCTAAAACGAATAGTTTTTGTTAGTTTAAATTTTATGTTAGGTCTAATTGGAGTTCGTGTTAGGTCTAAAACGAACAGTTTTTGTTAGTTTAAATTTCATGTTAGGTCTATTTGGAGTTCTTAGGTCTAGTTATAGTTCGCGTTAGTTCTAAATTCATACCATGTTAGTTCTAATTTCATGTTAGTTCTAATTGAAAGGCATGTTAGGTCTAATTCCAGTTCGTGTTAGGTCTAACAACAGTTCCATGTTATGTTTAATAAGAGTTCAATGTTAGGTGTAATTGGAGTTCATGTTAGTTCTAATTGCAGTTCATGTTAATTCTAATTGGAGTTCATGTTAGTTCTATTTCCAGTTTCATGTTAGGTCTCATATGCAGTTCGTGTTAGTTCTAATTGAGTTCATGTTAGTTCTGACGGATTTCATGTTAGTTCTAGTTCCAGTTCTATGTTAGGTCAAATATGTAGTTTGTGTTAGTTCTAATTGAGTTCGTGTTAGTTCTAATTGATTTCGTGTTAGTTCTAGTTCCAATTCCGTGTTATGTCTAATATGCAGTTCTGTGTTACGTCTAATATGCAGTTCTAGTTCTAATTGAGTTCGTGTTAGTTCTAATGGATTTCATGTTAGTTCTAGTTCCAGTTCTGTATTAGGTCTAATTTGCAGTTCGTGTTAGTTCTAATTGAGTTTGTGTTAGTTCTAATGAATTTCATGTTAGTTCTAACACGAACAGTTTTTGTTATTTGTTTATTTTCTAATTGGTGTTATTTGTTTATGTTATTATTTGTTTAGTTTACGATTATTTGTTTATTTTCTGAATATTTGCAGAGCTCAAAAAGTATAGATTATAGTCCGTCGTTGTCGTTGTCGTCGTCCACATGTGTTTTAGATAGGACCTGTGTCTCAGATAGGATTCCCAATGACAATCCTTCTAGAGATAATGTTTTGATGATTGATGACATGATTAGCAAACCAGAGAGAATTTCTGATTGGTGGCACACTGCTTTAACCGGTGAGGGACAACAATTTGAAAGTGCGAAAGAATTAAGATTGGCTTTGCTATACTATTCTATGGCAAAAATTTTTGAGCATTTGTTTGGAAAGAATGAACCGAAGCGTATTCGAGTTTATTGTCAGTTTAAGGAAACCAAAAGTTGCTCGTGAATGTTATTTGGCTCTCTACCTAAAAATAAAAATAGATTTGAAATCAAAAGATTCGTGAACAATCACACTTGTGGGCAGCATGACAATATTGTCAGTCAATCTAGGGCCTCTTGACAATTCATTGTGACCCAATTACAACCCATGTTAAAGGTCCAACCGAATATACGCCATATTGATGTACAAAAGGAGTTTCTAAGTTCGTATGGACTTATGGTCGATTGTAGTAAGATATTGTGGGGGTAAAGAAAGAGCACAAGAGCAATTATATGGTGATGCCCATGAGTCCAATGATCAATTACGACAGTAAAAGATAATATATACCATATACAAACTAATTTAATTTACGGTATGCTGTTTAGACTAATTTGGTTCTTGGTTAATATTATTTTTAGAGTATTTTCTCAGAGAATATTACATGATACTGAATAATCTATACTTAGTAATGATTGAAAATAACCTTTTTACAAAAAAATATTATTAATAATAATACTATTGATTGTTAATGATAGCGTAATAAAAATTTATAAAATATTTATAACACTAAATTATTTAAGAGAATAATTAAAAAAATAAAATTAGATTAATATATTATAGTGTATAGACAGCCAAATTATTTTAATAGTATTACTTGAACTAAGAATTATAATATTAAATAAGGTAAATTACAATAAACCTTCATAAACTTCTAGCATGTTGTAGTAAATAGACTCTATGAACTTTCAAAACCACAATAAACCCCTAATTATTTTTGTAGAAAACCCTAGTCTCTTTTAGACAAATTACATCAAACCCCAATAACATTCAAAATGCTTTTTTATGCCATTTTTGGTTCTAATTTACTGGGGTTATTGCAAAATTTAGAAAGTTATTGGGGGTCTTCTTTGAAATAGAAAAGTCACTAGGGATTTAGTGAAATTTTGAAAATTCATATGAGCTGAAAGTTCATAAGGGTGTAGTGTAATTTACACTATTAAACAGTCATAATCGGAAGTAACTATTGCAATATGTTGCATGTATTAAGTGCAACTATCTAACGAACATCAGAAAAAGCTAGCAAGATTAATACAACTTACTTTATTTCGAGTTAAATTAATAAATTTCAAGTTGGAGGGGCATATGTAAGAGAACTTATAGAATTTGTAGTTTTATTTAAGAATAATTTTAGATTTGGGGACTTATTTAAAAAAAATTAATATTGAGCGATTCATTATACGAAAAATATTCAATTACAATAACTGCACAAAAATAATTAATCCATACATTTATTTTTAAGCAATATTATTATACAATTTTATTTATGAATATATAGTTTTACTATTCAATAAAAATCAATACTTAAAATATGTACACTTCACTTGCAAAGCATGTGGATTATACTAGTACTAATAAATACAAATTTCCCTTTATCTATGTTAAACCCACTCACTTCCAATTTACTCTAGGCCCACAAAACTCTATGAATTCATTTGAAACTTAGTGTTTATTTTAGCAATTTGGCTCCCGTTGTGAAATTTTTACTAATAAACCCAAATCTGTACCCCTATCTTCACTCACTTCCGAAGT